AGATAGTTTTTCAAACCTGTTTAGTTAAACCACTTTAAAACCTGTTTAAGCCTTGGTGTGAATGGGGTATAAGTCTCGTGTTCATAGATAGTTTTCAAACCTGTTTAGTTAAACCACTTTTAAACCTGTTTAAGCCTTGGTGTGAATGGGGCATAAGTCTCGTGTTGATGTCACTGATACGCTTTGGGGAAACCAAAATCCTCCAAATAAGTAAGATGTTTATATTCGAGCATTGAACATCCTTCCTACACTTCCTAGTATAACACTGCTTGAAAACTACTGCCCCAAGCTCGCCGAAATGAATTCAAAATTCCCTAATATCTAAACAATACGAAAAGGAAAAGAGACTTGACGTTATGGAATATATATTACAGTGTGTAATAAACCTTGAATATCTAAACAATAGAAAAAGAGACTTGAAACAAAGAAAAAGAGACTTGACGTTATGGAATATATATTACAGTGTGTAATAAACCTTGAATATCCAAACAATACGAAAAGGAAAAGAGACTTGACGTTATGGAATATATATTACAGTGTGTAACAAACTTTGATTTCGACATTTTTTCTTTGGGTTTGGGGCTTGATCCAAGGTAATATCATACAGGATATAAATCTGGCATTAATAATTCATCGAATATGGGCAGAAAATTTGCATTCATCGAACAGACAGCTGAGATTTTTTGAAGCGTTAAGAATTAAATACGGACTTTAATAAATATAATTTTCAAAAAGTCGATGGAAAAGGCATTTTGCTTCAGTTTATGGAAGTCTCATAAATCTGGTAAAAATACTGTAGAAAAAAGCCTTGGAAAATGTAGAAATCTTTGGGGAAATTGGCTTGCGTTTATTTAGGGAATACGAAGAAACTTCTTTAAACTTATATAACTTACCTACAAGACAGTCAGACGTTGCCAGACTAGCATAGAAAGCGTACATAGATGATTGAAGTCGTTTGGCGCCCCTACAGATACACATGAGAGTTATCACATTCCCCGTGACGGATAGGACAGTCAGACAGCTCCACAGACCAGCTTGCACTGCAGTCCACATGGGATGATTGAACGGCTGTGGTATCGACGTCTCATTCGTGCTAGAATCGTTGAAGTTTGAGCGCAAATCCATGACAAACACTCCTTGAGAATGAAGAGTTGTTCCCTTCTACTGAAGCTCAGAGGACGAGTGAACGTCGAGATCCTTGAAACTCGTAACAACAGCTGTGTTTAGTAGTCATCCAGAGATCCTTTCATGCCGTCCTATATGCAAATGCATCTAACAAATTAATGTTTAATTGTCACACAACGTACTAAAACATTAAAAAATTGTATAACAATTGAATTTCAATTAAGCCGTTGATGGAACAGAAGTGAGTAGACAAATCCTGGACTTATATACTCGAGCGTTGTTCGCTTCTGCGAGTGCAACATTCAAGAAACAAAGCCATACCAGACGCTATCCTCAATATTGTCATGTAAATATTGATAGAAGCTCTATTGGTGGGCTAATCGCCAGTACAAAACATTACAAAGGTCACTAACCTTCCTATAAGGAACTCAGCATGAGTAATGTCATCGTTATGAAGTCGGCCTATAATTTGTCTTCTCTGATCTAAGGTCGGTAATTACGAAGTTTTGCTTGTTGGGATGTAATTTGCCTCACAGTAGGAACTTTAAAGCACGAATCAAAAACAAAGGAACTGAAAAATTGGTGTTGCTATTACTTATTGTGCATGGAAATGGTTCCCAAATGATTAGCTTTCTCTTTCGTACATATGTTCCGTGTCGTTGTAGGACACTGGCCCGCGGCAATAAGAACCATACCTCTGATGTCAAGATTTCCTCATGACTTTGACTTTGACTTTATTGAAGGAAGGATAAGAAGGATCGCTTTTAAAATCTACATCTAAAAACAATTATTAGCAAAAGACCTTATATCCGTTACCTGTTTTGATGTCAATAAAACCCGAGAGATTTTGGGAGCGCGCCACAACTTGATTCAATAAAACGTGCCCGCTGATAGTGGCACCCGCTAAAGGTGACGCACTTCCTGACTTTTGTTTGAACAACAATGACATTTATTTTCCATTCATTTCCATATTTTCCCCCAGTTGATTCGCTTTTCGAACAATCTATTTACCATCGGTGAAATTTGACGTACTTTCCAACATATCTTACGAAGTAGTTTACAAACTTCCTCCTTTTCTTCTAATTCAAAATTCCTTATTTATATCTCGCCCTCAGAACATCCAAACGTCAAGTTTAACAACATTTTCAAGAGAAACACCTCATTACTAAAATAAGAAAGCCTTTATTTACAAACAAACAGTAATTACATTTCCAAGAGTTCATTTAAAATACAGAAGAATTTGTTCTCATCATATTCACACATTAATTTTGAAAATGCGTTTGAAAAATTAGTTTCGAGCTGTAATATTATAGAAAAATAATCAAACGGCGCCGGAGATTTGTGGAGTGAAAAACAAGGTGTTATGTACAAGCAAAACTGGACAGCATCATTGTAAATTAATGAACGAGTTAAACATTTTTTCTTGATTAAAAAAAGAAATTTAATTGGAAAATTTTAAATCTTAAAATGGTTAGTATCCTTAAAAATATTTTACAAGAATGACTGAAGCCCAAACGGGAATAAAAGTACATCATTTTGAGGGCCACAATTTATTAGTGTAGTACACTATCTAGTGCCACCCTCATTAAATAAAGTTGTTATTATTATTATTATTATTATTATTATTATTATTATTATTATTATTATTATTATTATTAGGATTTCTTCTTTTTACTTGTAAACTCTGTTAAGCCTAGCTTCTATATATGCTTTTTTGTTTGTATTACAGAAAAATGTGAAAGCATTCGCAGCAAATATGTGCAGAATAATAGGCTGTTAACAGACCCTCTTTTCCAGACTTTCCCTCTCCCTGCATCTGGAAAAGAGGGGCTGTTAGCACTCTAGCAGAGTAAGGTTTAGAAAAACAAATGGAAGTGTGCAAAATCGAAATGAAAAGTAAGAAGAAAAAAGAAAAAGGAAAGAAAAAACATATCTTGAGATAAAAAAAGGGAAAAATCTATATAAAATATATAAAAGATTCACTTCACTATAATGGCTTCCAAAAAAATATACAAAATAATTTTTTTTTTTTTTCAAAAACTAGGATTGTGTAATTTAAAAATTATTGGCTATGAATGCGATGTCGTGACAGTGAAACAGGCTTACAGCCTCTACTTCTTTTTAACAGCTCTCCACAGCAAGTCCATCCTTGGTTGACCAAGTAGCTTCCTGAATGCTGCATCATTACACAGGTCCGGGTTTTCAGAGCTGCTCGAGGCAGCCTCGCACGACATCGGTTACACGAAACCTCATCGAGCTGGCTTCGGAGGAACCGAACGCATTGAGTCAGGCGTTGGATTTTTTCCTCGTTTTGCCTATTCTCTTCTCGAACGCGTTGCGCGTCACTTAGAGCTCGGTTAAATACCCCTTTCAAAAGTAGGGAATCGATTTTGGAGAAAAGGTCGGGATTTATTTTCATTCCCCATTCCAGGTCCGATATCGTTGCTTCTTCAAGACACTTGTGTTCTACAATCAATCGATTTGTCTCCGTAAAAGACTGGTCACCTTCTTCGTCCCATAGAACTAATAATTTTAACTTCTCGCCATTCTTGAATAGAGCGTTTTTCGTACCGTAGTCGAGTACGGAGTCCAGAAAAGTGTAATCGATAACGCTTCGTCTGAACATCGTGGACTTCGAAAGAACTCGCCATTTGTGCGCAAAAACGGAGACTGCTTTGGCTGTTAGTTCCTTGATGCCAAGAAAATCACTGTTACTGATGACGCGAAAAATTTCTTGTTCTTGGAAAATGGCGTCCTTTTCCTCAGCAATTCCTGTATAGAGAAACTGGAGAATTGGTTCGAAGTTTCCTGGGGTTGGTAGCTCAATCGATACGACATCCATCTGAGTCTCTATAAAATCTCCTTGGAACAACGCCCTAAAATACTCACTCCTCAGGACTAGATAGCTGGAGTGACAGTAGAATTTCTGGTCATCCACGCATATTATCTTGTCAGCGTATCTTGGGTTGTTCACGAACTTACGAGCGTCTTCTCCATCGACTACAGTGAAAACCTCGTCTTCCGGTTCTTTTGCTATAACTACTTTATTCTGTAACACGTGGACTACAAGCCCGGTATTTTTGAGCTGATTTATTATACTATTGAGTTGTTCCTTGATAGTTTGTTGTACTTTATCGTCCGCAAGAGAGTTTGTATTTTGAGCTAACGCCATTCTTGTCGACCAACTCCGTCTAACAGAACATTAGAATACTGAATTTGAAATCAGTCTTTTTTGCTTATAAAATAGATCCCCCGGGAAAGCTTCGCATTCAAACATGTTAACTTGCCGCACGAATTCACGTGAAACAGAAGTAACAATCAAATTTGGCGCGGAAGTATGCGCGCGAAACATTCCTACACAGGAAGCCCATTCAGTGACATGAAACCACAGGTAACCCACGGAAGAAAATTTCAAATACACCATCTTTATACACAATATTTACAAATGAATTCATAATCTGTATAACCTGCCTTGCTAGTCTGTATTATCGTGTTGATACTGGAAATGTTTGGGCTGATATATAAGCAGCACCATTTTGATGTACTCAATCTCTAGGGAGAAGGGGCCATTATTGTGGTCAGCAAGTGTGATTCCAAATGTTCTCATCTTAGGAAAATCCATTTGGTGATCTTGAAGATACCCTGAGTTTGTTAAGATAAACTTGCTGAATGGGATCTGCAGAAATAAAATGCGCATCTTAATGTTGTTTAGTATCAGTGTAGTGATGAAGGCGACTCCTGTGATTGGTTAATAACTTTATACCTCCTCCATTTCAGCTATGTCTAATAAAACTCCAAAATATGTCAATTCTGGTCATTGCTGGATTCTAGACAAAATTTTACATGACTACCCCTTTTTGCATACATACAAATTGCAAAAAGTCCCCCCCCCCCTCCCCACACCTGCCTTATTTTCACTGGACCCCATCTCCCTCTTTAAAATGATGGCTTTCTATCATAGAATAAAAGACTGCCTTCTCTCAATAATAGGGTTTCCACAATTTCATATTTCTTTGAACAGCATCACTGTCATTGGGTGAGGGGGAAGGTGTTGAAGCAAGGGGGGAGTACTGTCATATAAAAAGAGTGGGATGATCATTGTATCTTTTATTGGTTGAAAATCATGTCTCTCTCTCTTTCAGGAGTGGAAAAGAAAAAAGCTTTGGTTTTTAGCATGTCTCAGACTCTTATTTTTTAGGGGTTAATTTTTTTTTGACAATCATTAACACCCTTAAATGAGAACCC